AAACTTCTGAAAAACGCAAGAGCGCGGTTTGCGTGCGATGGCAGCCTGGGGCAGGAGCTGCTAGGAGCATGCGGGGGGTGGGGTGGGGGGGAGGGAATAGGGTCATGGAATGGATGCGGGGGAAGTGGGACTTTTGTTACCAAGTTGGGTTATTTGCGCTGATGCAGCTGAAGCTCATTCCTTGTGGCGCTGTGCTGGGTTCAACAACCTCTGCGTCTCCGAATAGCAGTCGAGCCGTCGACGCAGCCAACCAGCCAGGATGGAGACCCTGCAAAAGGCTGACTATGCGCTGCCGCAGTGCACTGTGCATGGCTACGTTACAGTTGGTCGTGGCCCAACGGTTCGTTGGAATATCTGGGTGCCTATCGGACTCTGCTCCGCCGTGCTTGTTCACGAGTTGGGTTCGGCCTCGCACCTGGGCACATTTGGCGATAGGTGGTGCTACTGCATGATCTCTTTGGCTCAGCCCGTGATTTTGAGGACCACCTCGTCCACGGCGTGGGCAAGCAGCTCAATATCCTGGCCCTTGATCTGCCTGGACATGGTGCCTCCACTATGCCCGTTGACCTCGGGGTCAGTTGCCCGCCCCTGCCGCCTCGTCTGGCGTGTGCGCCCGCAAACCATTTTGCCACTCGCTCGCTCTTTTTCTGCCCGCCAGGATAGGAAGTTGCATGCCACGTAACACTTACGCCCTCACCTTTCTTGTGTGTGGGCCTTTGCAGCTGTTTACGATTGCGGGCATGACAGCCGTTTTGACTCAGGTTATCAACAGTCTTCCCGTCCCCAAGGTCGTGGTTGCGGCATCGGGCTACTCGGCTCATGTCGCCCTCCAGCTTGCTCGTGACAACGCAAAAGGTACAGGCCAAATGCATCGTCTTTTGCGTGCTTTATTGTTCAGCCCGCACCGCCTTGCTGGTTCGCATGCCTTTCTTTCAGGTGCCACACCTCACCGTTGATATGCCCCCTCTCGTCGATAGTCCAGGGCATCTTCATGATGGACACTGTGCCATACCAACCGGTACGTATGTGTTGTGTGCTGTTCTTGTCCATAGAGCCAACTTACCAACAGGGGCAAGAGTGGTGTCATTGTGCAGTCTCTCTGGTTGACATTTGACCTGGTGTTAAACGGGCGACGAGGTGCAGGCCTTTCCCTGGCTCCCCGAAACAGCCTCGGAGGTGCAGACGGCCATTGGAGACATGGTTGCCGCACAGAACTTGGCCGCAGATTTGTCAGCCGAGGTAAGCAATGCTTCACGCGACCAGTTCTTTCCCGCCATTCGCTTCCTCTGGCGACTCAGATCCGTTTGACCCACACCACGGGCGAACCACCTTTCTTTGCTAGACCTTGAGCTTTCTGAAGAGCAAGAACATCCCGGTGCTTGTGGCTGCCACGGTGGGGGATCTCATCAATAACGACTTTCAGCCCGTGAACGTGAGCCACCTCCATGGCCGCTGCCTGCACGTGGTCCCCGGTGAAGAGGGACGCTTGGCCACTGTCAACAGCGAAGCGTTTGACAACTTTATCCGTGACCTTGTCCGCCATGTCTTTGGCTCCATTGCCGCTGGCCGGGTAGGTGATGTGTCATTTCCTTTTCAAGCCCATCGTTTTTGCCAATCATGGTCTCGCCCAACATCATGATGAAGGATGACGCTTCCAATTGGTACTAGGACGGCGCGATGGTGCGTAGTGGCACAACGCAGGCTGCCGGCACGGGGGGCTACCTGGTGCACCCGGCCGCGCGCTTTGAGGCGGCCTCCAGCGAGGGATCAGCAACAGTATCGGGGGGAAAAGTGAACGATCAACATCAAGCCAATCCGTATTCGCGGGGCAAGATTCCGGCCGGCAAGATGCCCCACCCCTCGATGCGTTTTGAGCATCCCGGTGAAGGGGGTGAGGGTGCCGCCAGTACACTCGGCAAGGGACGCCGCAACTCTTTGGCAGAGAATCCGTATGCCCGCGGCCGTATCCCGCCTGGTGCCATGCCCCACCCATCTTCTCGCTTCGAGGGCCAGGCGGAAACGCCCGCAGCTCCTCGCACACCCAATGAGACAAGCCGCAAGAATCCAAACGCGCGCGGGCGCATCCAGCCCGGAACCATGCCTCACCCTTCCTCACGCTTCGAGACTACTGACGAACCCGAATCTGCTGCCCCAGCTGTCGCTACTCCAGGCAAAAAGCCTGCCAACGCCTTTGCTCGTGGCCGCATCCCGGTACGCAACCTTGCGCTCAGAAAAGCAGGCAATTCGAGGAAGGGGGGCGGGTCTGCGCTTCATACATCACGCATCAACTCATGTCGACCTGTCCCGACGAAACTCTACCTTACCCTACCCGATCTTGCGTTCAAGGGTGGCTACTTGCCACATCCCGGCCTGCGCTTCGAGCCACCCTCTGAGGAATCGCTGCACCACGGCCGGGGCGGTGATGCCATGAGCCAGCATCCCATTGATCGGCCCTCCACCCGCGTGCAACAACCCCCCGGTGGTGCCACCAGCAACATTTTTGGCTAGAGCCCAAACTCATTTTGCTTTGATCCCGTCGCGGTGGTGTTACTCCAATCAGCAAGGGCCTTGCAGGACCTGGCAGAAGAACAATCAATTCAACGAAACGCTCTGATCCCAAGTGATTCGGAACCATTTTCAGCTCGTAGGCGAGCCGAGGGTGTGAACCCACGGAAATAAAAGGAAAGATTGAGATCTACACGACACGGACACGAACACATGCCCACGGCGACACAGACATAAGCACAGGCACAGGTAGATGCTAGCAGACACGGACGCAGGCCCAAACTTAAACACAGACACACAGACACACCCACACACAGACACACACACACACAGACACAG